ATTGTTTGCATGTATGTCAATGCACCCATGTTGTACAATGCTGTGGAGGTCAGAAGAGTGTGTCAGATTCCCCTGGAACTGTAGTTAAGGACGGTTCGTAGCTGCCATGTGGGTGCTGGGAATCGAACCCGGGTCCTCTGCAAGACCAGTCAGTGCTCTTAACCTCTGAACCATCTCTCCAGCCCCCTCTCTTTTTCTTTTTAATTGGGTCTAGGACCCCAACCCACAGTATGGTGCCATCCATATTCCATCCACAGTTAAACCCGTGGAAACACCCTCGCAGACAAGCCCAGAGGTGTGTCTCCTAGGTGATTTCAAATCTGGTCAAGTTGATAATGAGAATTAACCATCATAGATTAATTTTGCGTAGAAGAAATGACATTTGAGTCTTCATGATGTCAAATTTCTCAAGGTAAAGAGTAAGTAGGGATGAGGAGTTTTGTTCAAAGTATAGAAGCAGTATGATTAAACAGATAACAAAATTCAAACAGCAATGCACCACCATGCCTAGCCTTTTTTTTTGGAGACCAGGTTTCATTATGTTGTTCAAGGTGGCCTCAACCTCAACATCTTTCTGCCTCGGCCTCCCAAGTAGTTGGGCTTATAGCTATGTGTCACTGCCCCTGGCTTCAAACTCAGATAAACATTTTAAGAAAAACTTGAACAAAATAAACAGTGATCAGGAGTGTGTCTGGAGCCCCAGTTCTTGGTGCTACGTCCTGACCTGCCTCTTAGAAGTTGTGTGAGCCTTGGTCACTGTGATGGTTTGAATGAAAATGTCTCCCATAGGCTCCAAGTGTTTGGACATTTTGTCCCCAGGTGATAGCACTGTTTTGGGAGGTTTCAGAAGGTGTGGCTATCCTGGAGGAAGCATGTCACTAGGGGTGGGCTTAGAGAGTTCTTAAGCCTTGCCAGATCTCCATGCCCTCTTGCTTCCTGTGCCTGCATGATGATGTGTGAGAGCTTGGCTTCTGCTGCCCCTGGTCCAGCCACCTCCAGCCACCATGACTCCCTGCCACGAGGGACTGTAATTCCCCTGGAAACATAAGCTCAAATAAACTCTTCCTTCTATAAGTTGCTCGGGTCAGAGTTTCTATCACAGCAACAGAAAAGTGACTAATACAGTCACCTTGCCTTACCTTTCAGTTTTCTCAACTATAAATTGGAAGTGATGGGTGCTACAGGGATGGCTCAGTGGTTAAGAGCATATGATGCTCTTGCAGTTTCAGTTCCCAGCACTCCCATGGTGGTTAACAAGCCTCAAGACCCACTCCCAAATAGAAGGGTTTATTGTGCCTTACAATTCAAGGGAATACATCCCATCATGGCAGGAAAGGTATGCTGACAGGAGCAGGAGGCCAGCTGGTCATACTGCATCAGGAATCAGGAAACAAAGGGTGAACAGGAAGTGGGGCTGAGCTATAAAGCCTCAAGACCTTCCCTCAGTGATCCACTTCCTCCAGTGAGGCTCCACCTCTGAAACATTCTGCAGCCTTCCCAAACAGCACCACCAGCTGAGAGCCAAATGGTCAAACACATGAGCTTATGGGAGACATTTCACATTCAAACTAAAACCTCATGGCAGACAAGAAGCAAAGAGACAAGAAAGCAAGAGGGCAAAATAAAGGCCCAATAGGGATGGCTCAGTGGTTAAGAACATCAGCTGCTCTTGCAGAGGACCTAGGCTTCATTCACAGCACCACATGATGGCTAACAACCATCCAGGGGATCTGACACCCTCTTCTGGCCTCCATGGGCACTGCTTGTATGTGGCACACTCACATACATGAAGGCAATGCATGCATATAAATTAAAAAATTTTTAGTGCCAGGTGTGGTGGCACTCAAATTTAATCCCAGCACTCGGGAGGTGGAGGCAGGTGGATCTTTGTGAGTTCAAGGCCAACCTGGTCTATGCAGTGAGTCCCAGGTCAGCTGGTGCTACAGGGAAACTCTGTCTTAAAAAAGACCAAAAATTTTTTTTGTAAAAGGTAAAGCCCCAATGACAGACCCCCTCAGTCCTCAGTGACCTATTTTCTCCAGATAGGCCTCAACTCCTCCTTTCAACCACCCCCTAATAATTCCATCATATTATGAATTAATCCACTCATTAGGTCAGAGCCCCCAGGATCTAATCATCAGTGGGAGCACCTCATAGACACTCCTGAGTGTGCTTGACTAATCTCCTAGGCTTTTTTTTTTTGAGATGGGGTCTCATTATGTAGCACTTGGGTGGCCTCGAACTTGATCTCCCTGCCTCAGCCTCTGCCTCTGCTTCTTGGGTGCTGGGACTAAAAGTATATGTCACCATGCCCTGCCCTGTAGGCATTTAAAAATTTTATGTATATGAGTGTTTTGCCTGCACATATGTAAATGCACCTATGTCCTACAATGCCTGCAGAGGTCAGAGAGGGCATCAGTTCCACTGGAACTGGAGTTAAGAACAGTTGTTAGCCACAATTTGGGTGCTGGGAATTGAACCCTGGTCATATGGTTTGTTTTTTGTTGTTCTTGTTGTTATTTTGGTTTTGGTTTATGAGATACAGTCTCATAGGCTAGCCTCAAATTTGAGATGTATTTGAGGTTGGCCTTGAACTCATGACCCTCCTGCCTCTACTTCCTGAGTGTTGGGATTGTGAGTATACCTGGCTGACTTTTTTGTGGGGGGAGTTTTTTTTTTTTCTTTTTTTGAGACAGGGTCTCCTTGTAGCCCCAGCTGTCCTGCAACTATGTAGACCAGGCTAGCCTCGAACTCACAAAGATCTGCCTGCCTCTGCCTCCCAAGTGCTGGGACTAAAGGCGTGCACCACCACACCCGGCTGATACCTGGCTGTTTTTGAAAAAAAAATTTTTGGATGTGCCACTGCCTCCGGTTTTATTTATTTATTTTTATGTGTATGAGTGTTTTGCCTGCATAAGTGCACCCGTGCATGCAATGCCCGTGGAGGCCAGAAGAGAGTGTTGGATCTGCTGAAACTGGAATTACAGATGGTTGTTAAGCTGCCATTGGGTGCTGGGAACTGAACCCAGGTCCTCTGTAAGAACAGCCTGTGCTCTTAATCACTGAGCCATCTGTCTGGCTCCCCTCCCTCCATAGGCATTTCTTAAGCCAATCAAGTTGATATGATTAACCATCTCAGTGTATGAAATAGAATTTATAGGAGGCCCTTGTTTTGGACCAAGTTCTTACACAAGGCCCCAACAGGCCAGACCCAAACCAGAAGGGAGTCACATTTGCTTAACTGCAAATAATCAAGATGAAGTTGGAAATCAGGCCTCTTTTTAAAAAACAGGAGATTCACAGGTGGCCAAACAGAAGAGTGGCCCAAGAAGTTGTGTTTACCCTGTAAGAAAAGTTACTTTGAAGTAGACCAATACCCTCTCTGTTCTTCATTTCTGCTTTTCCTAACCCTCTTTCTGCCAATAAAGCCAGCTTCTTCTCAGTTCAAATTAGCTCCTTTTTTTTTTTTCCGGTCTTTTTGGGACAGGGTCTCCCTGTAGCTCCAGCTGCCTGGAACTCACTCTGTAGACCAGGCTGGCCTTGAACTCACAGAGGATCCACCTGCCTCTGCCTCCTGAGTGCTGGGATTAAAGCTGTGCGCCACCACGCCTGGCTCAAATTAGCTCTTTAAATTTGTTTCGATTATATGTGTGTTATGTTTCCAGAGTGAAATTAAATCTAAAGGAAAAACTGAGTTTATGGGGAAAAAGTTGTTTCTCTTTTTCTAAAACTTGAGCCAAGGTAAGGCAAAGCTCTACCCGATGAGGGTGTATAATGTAGATCTCAGCAGCACTTACTTCACTAAACGCTCAGTAAGGCAACACCAAAAAAGGATGGTTTGATTCTGTTGTTTGATATTTGGTATGCGTGTATGAATAATTTAATGGTAAATAAAACTTAAGAGGACCATATGAGATGAGAGCTGGGTTGTATTCCAGTAGACAAGAAGACCTTTCTTTGTTCATTTTGTGCGTTTGGGGACTGGGGGGCAGACAGAGGTTCTCAGATGAAGGATCCTGGAGTCACCCAAATGTTTTACCGTCTCATTCCTTCCTGTTGTTCACATTGTGGTTGGGGCGCCCCTCTCTCAGAGTAGTCTTCCTTGGGGCAGTGTAAAGTGGCACACCTTCATTTCCTAACACATTGCAGTATTTTGTTGCCTTCAAATTGCTTTTCACTCTGAGCTGTCCTAGAGTATTTATTTTACCCAGTTAATGACCCTTTCCCTCACTGGAAGGCACTCTCTCTGTCCATCATGATTCCCAGTACATATTAAGTCTTCCTATTATTGCTATTATTTTTCTAATGGCTGAATGAAGAATGAGTGAAAGAATGAATGGATACACTTCATCCTTAAAGTACCTCTGTTTTCAAGAGCTAAGCAACTTCTTTTGTTTGAACCAGACTGGAAAGAAGAAGTAGAATAAGGGAAGCCAAGGGGGAGATTGGAGTGTCCTGAGTAGAAGGGGATGAAGCTCTAGATTAGACAAATGGGTGTAGAGTTGTTGAGTGAAGAGGCCTAGGAGAGGAGCTGGAGGAGGAAGTGGAGGCGGGGAGGAAGGGGCGGGCCCTGGCCGTGGGCGGTCCCTGGAGGGCGGGGCCTGCGGTGCGGAGGCCGGGCGGCGGCGTTGGAAGATGGCTGCGGCGGAGGCGGCGGACACTCAGCTGATGCTGGGAGTCGGGCTGATCGGTGAGGATGCAGGCGCTCCGCCAGGATCCCCGGACGCTGGGGCCGCTCCGCCACGGCGGGGTTGGGCCTGGGCTGCGGGGCTCGGCCTCCGCGGTGCGGGGACCAGCGTGGGGCCTGCGGGCGGGACGCGGCCCGGGACCCGGCCCGGGACCCAGCGGAAGCCGGGCTGAGCTGCTCCTGGGCTCCGGCTGCTGGGCGTGCGGCCCCGCGTGACTGCCCGTTCGCGCCGGCCCCACGGTGGGAACCGCGGCTGGAGCCTGCTGTCCGACTCCACTCCTCTAGGGGCTGGGTGACCTGGGAGGCCCGGGGACCCTGGAGGCGGCAGAGCCCGGGTTGGGACCCTCGCGATCTCGTTCCGAACTCCGCGTCAGGTGATCGAGCTCGTGCATGTGGAGTTTCTGCATGGTCACATGTGGAACCCAGGCTGGTTTCAAGGAATTTCTGGGTGAGGAAGTTCATTGGGATCTTTGGACAGCCTTGTGCCGGCGCCTCTGGGGCGGGCATTTCGAGGAAACGGCGGGCCTTGGGTGATGGGACTGCTGGATGAATGAACCTGTGTGGCCACCCTTTGTAAACGTCTTTCTCACCCCTTAACACTCCATCTTTCAGGGTGCAAGAGCATTGCTTAGACTTAGCAATTCAGTGCACTGATTATTCTTCAGGAGCTCAAAGGAGTGGTTTATCCTGTATTCATTGTAATGTGATTTTAAAACTGCTTGAAAGTAAAACCCAAATACCTCAGGCATTGAATCCTGCCAGTACTTCAGAATTAACTTTCGGTTAACTGAGCATAAACGTGATTTACGATTATATTTTCCAATTCAACAGCTCTTTATTTTTCATACTGATAGGCGCCTAGACAGTGTTTCTGAATAAAGGGATCAAACCCAGGGCCCCAAGTAGCTCTGCCTGTATCTCCAACAGAGATTTTTTTCCTCCTTTAACTTTTCTGTGTCTATTTTTAGAGATTATGTGTATGAGTGTGTTCCCTGCATGTTTGTAAGTGAACCACATGTATGCGATGCCTGTGGAGGCCAGAAGAAGGTTTTGGGTTCCCTGGAACTGGACTTAAGTTAGTGGTCCTGGATGCTGGGACCCTAGCCCAGGTCCTCTGGAAGAGCAGCCAGTGCTCCTAACTGCTGAACCATCTCTCCAGCCCTTCTGTATGTTTTTATTAAAGATTTTTCCAACTAGGTAAAAATGTAGGTATAAGTCAATAAGAATTTTTGCAGAAGATAGAAAACTTTACCAAATATTTAAGGCTAATTTTTCATTACATTTTATTTATTTGTGTATGTTTATGTATGGGTGTCCTCAAATGGAGGTCAGATGACAATTTGCAGGAGTCAGTTCTCTCTTTCTATCCTGTGTCCTGGGGATAACACCCAGATTGTCAGACTTGACAGCCAGTGCCTTTACCTGCTGAGCCATCTTAACAGTCTCTAAAGCTAAATTTTCCTTCATGGTTTGTTATGAAAAGCTTTTTGCTCAGGTAACTTAAAATTAAATTCTGCCTGGCATGATGGTACAGGACTGTAATCCCAGCATTTACGAGATTCAGGAGTTCAAGGTTATCTTTAGCTACATGGAGAGTTTGAGGCCAGCCTGGGTGACATGAAACCCCATCTCAAACAAGCCCAAGTCACGAATTCATAGGGATTTAGGGTCTCAGATCTCTGGGTTGCTTTGTGAAATGGGGTGTTAAAACTGATTCCACAAGGTGTTTCTGAGTAACCAATCCATTCACTTCCTCGCTGCTGTTTGGCATTCTCACAGTGACCATCTTTCCACCGTAGAAAAGGACACAAATGGAGAAGTTCTGTGGGTCTGGTGTTATCCTTCCACGACAGCGTCCTTAAGGAACCTGCTGCTCAGAAAATGCTGCCTAACCCATGAAAACAAACTTCTTCATCCCTTTGTCTTTGGGCAGTACAGAAGAATGTGGTTTTATATCACTACAGTTGAAGTTCCAGATTCTTCAGTTTTGAAAAAGGTATGACTACATTAAGGCCCAAACCCCCAAAAGAGTGAAAGTGTTTTAAGAATATTAGCTTTAGAGTTGGATGTGGTGGTGCACACCTTTAATCCCAGCACTTGGGAGGCAGAGGCAGGTGGATTTCTGTGACTTGAGGCCATCTGGGGCTACAGGGAGATCCTGTCTCAAAAAGACCAAAAAAAAAAAGAAGAAAGTATTAGCTTTAGATACTACCTTCCACAGTGCACACTTGAAAACATTAAATCTTATTTTCACTGGGACTATTCTTGTTCACACTTTATTCATTGTACAAATACTTGTGTTTGTTGTGATTAGTTGAATGGTGAGCAATGCAAGGTTATATGGCCTCCCTTTAGAGAACAGAGATGTAGTACACACCTTTAATCCCAGCACTCAGGAGGCAGAGGCAGGTGGATTTCAAGAGTTTGGGGCTGTAGCAAGTTCCAGGCTAGCCAGGGCAATATGGTGAGATCCTGTCTGAAAAAACAAAAAGAAAACACTATTCTAGATACCAGGATACCAGGAGTGTTGACATATGCCTATAACTCCAGCTTTTAGGAAGCCCAGCAGGAAGATTGCCACAAGCTCAAGGCCAGTGTGAACTACATAATACATTACAGGCTAGTCTAGGTTTTAAAGTGAGACTTTGTGTCAGAAGAACAAAACCAGGGGCTAGAGAGGTGGCCCAGTGGTTAAGAGCACTGGCTGTTCTTGCAGAAGACTCGGGTTCGAATCCCAACACCCACAGGGCAGCTAACAACTGTCTATAACTCCAGTTCCAGGAATCCAATGCCTTCTGTCCTCTGAAGGCACTGCATGACATAGGTATGCTAACACATGTAGGGAATATACTCATACACATAAAAATAAATAAATTTTTAAAATCCAAAACAAAACAGGGGCTGGAGAGATGACTCAGTGGTTAAGAGCACTAGCTGCTCTTGTAGAGGATCTGGGTTCAGTTCCTATACCCACATGGCAGCAGCTCACAACTGCCTGTAAGTCCAGTTCCAGGCGATCCAACGCCCTCTTCTGGCCTCTGCAGGTACTGATCACCTATGGCTCATTCAGGTGCATGGGACCAAACACACACACATAGAAAATGAAAATAAAGTATAAAATAAATAAATATTTAAAAAAAACATTAAAAAATTTAAAAAATAAAAGAAAGAATGAGTACATGAAGTTGTCAGAAAAAAAATGATGGGGAGATATGGGAGGTGTTGGAGGGGAGGGAGTGGGTGTGGATTTGATCAAAACACCTTATATGCATGTATGAAATTCTTAATAAAGTTTTTTTAAAAGTTAAAAAAGTATATTTTTTAACATATACTTTTTCTAGCCAGGCTTGATGGCATATGACTTTAATCCCAGTACTTGGGAGGTAGAGGCAGGTGAATCTCTGTGAGACTGACGCCATCCTGGTCTACATAGCAAGCTCTAGGCCAGCTGGGGCTACAGGGAGATCCTATCTCTAAAAAACAAAAAGATAGGATTTCACTATATAGCCCTCACTGGCCTAAAACTTAATATGTAGACCAGGCTGCTGGCCTCAGACAGAGATACAGAGATCCATCTTCCTCTGGCTCCCAAGTGCTGGGACTAAAGGCGTGCACCACCACAGCTGGTAAAAATACTCTTTACAAAAACATAAAAAAAAAAACCAAAAAACAAACCACAACAACTCTTTTAAAGGATATAATTATACTTGGCTGAGTTAAGAATTTAAAAATTTACTTGTGGGTGATGAAGATAATATTATGAATTTAAAAATGATTATTAAGGAAATTCATGTAGTAATTAGACTTTCATTGGTCTGTTGTTTGATAGGAATAGTGTCAATGTGACCTAGGGTGCACTGTGTGTTTTGTGGCCTCCTACGAGGAAAAATAAGGGAAGCCAGGCATGATTGTGAAAGCCTTTAATCCCAGCACTTGGGAGGCAGAGGCAGGCAGATTTCTGTGAATTCAAGGCCAGCCTGGTCTATGTAGTGAGTTCTAGGCTAGCTAGGGCTACAGGGAGACCCTGTCTCGAAAAATACCAAAAGAAAAAGTGTTTGTTCAGACAGGCACAGTGACAAATACCAATAATCCCAGCACCTGGGAGCTCTCAAATTTGAAACGAGTCTAGGCTACATAGTGAGATTAAGATTAGGATGGATTACATAATGAGACTGTCTCAAAATAAAGCAAACCAGGGATGGAGAAGTAAGAGAAGACGTTTACATTTTGGTTTTTTTTTTTAATGCAACTATGCTGTGTGCAAGAGGGTCACTGGAGCCTGGTATGGTGGCACACACCTTTAATTCCAGCACTTGAAGGCAGATGGATATCTGTGAGTTCAAGGCCAGCTAGGGCTACAGGGAGACCCTGTCGCAAAAAGACCAAAAGAGGGGGAAAAAAAGAGGTCTGTTGGAATAGAATAATAGAATTATTATTCTGTTAAAGTACCGAATCTTATTAAAGCATCTGTAAAAAGTGTATTTTTTGTTTCTTTTGGACAGGTGACTCATTTTTCTATTGTTCTGACCGCCAAAGATTTTAACCCAGAGAAATATGCCGCCTTCACTAGGATATTGTGTAGGTCTGTATGAAAACTGGTAAATGCTAATATACCCAAAGGAAGAGCTCATTCTGTAGTGACCCAGCAGATTCCTACATGAAGGACGAAATCCAGCCCTCAGTCCCCTGGTTTACTCTATGTTGGGCCTGCAGAGGCCAGTTTCCAAGGAGGGACTTGCCTTTCTGCTTTGTTGATTTATCCAGTTTAGGAAAGCAGGCTAAGGGAAGAGAGAGCTTTTGTAGTTCTTGGGTGTCTCCATCACTTCCCACTGTGGGTCTGTTACTTCTGTTTACTTTTCTGCAATGTCAGGGGCATTGTTATAACCTTGTCACTAGGTAAGTTTGCAATTCGTGTCACATGTGTGAGCGCTCTCACCCAGCAGTATGATGGGGAGCTGAAAGGAATTGACATTGTTTTTTCCACTGAAGCTCAATAAACAGTTGCCTTTCACACACATGCATCCCCCCAAGCAAAAAATGAAAAACAGAAACCTCATTACCTACGAGTTTCAGTTAGATTGTATTTTAACAAAGTGAGATTTTACTGTTTATGTAACTAGCCACAATTCAAGACTTCTTGTGTACATAGAAAAATTCCAGGTATGTGGCTCACTGTGGAACAGTGGCACGGACCCAAGGGGAGGTTATTATTGATGGAAGGGATGCAGCCCAGAAGCTGTAAACTGAAAACACCTCAGAGCTGTTTTCTAACAAGCACTGGACTCCTAGTGCATCTGAGTCAGGACTTGGTTACTTGGCAGAACTGAGTGGGAAGTATTGTGGGGTCCAGGACGCTTAGAGGATTTCTAGCTTCTGTAGTGCCCTGCCCAGTGGCCTTCCTCATCCTTTTGCTGTCACAGGGCAAAGGCAATGAGGCTTCAGCCATTGCCAGCCACCTCCTCTGCCTGCCACCCCTTCCTGCACTCATGTGCTCAGCCATCCTTGTGTGTGTGCTCATGCATACGTACCTCCGCATACCCCCACATGCGTGTGTCTGCATTCCTTGTACACTCAAAGACAGACTCTTGGCCAAATGATGCATGCCTTTAATCCCAACACTCACAAGGCAGAGGCAGGTAGATCTCTGAGTTCGAGGCTATCCTGATCTACATAGCAAGTTCCAGGCCAGCTGGGGCTCCCTGTTTCAGAAAAAAAACAAAAATTAAAAAAGACTTTCATGATGATGAGGTGAACGAGGAGGCGCTCCCCTGCAGTTCTGGGGAGGGAATCAGGTGTGCTTCCTGTGGCATACTGCTCACTGTGACAGTGGAGGCCACATAGGAAGGCTTCAGTCCTTGAGTAGCATCTGCCACCACCCCCATCATCTAGTCCCTGCAGCCAATGGCCCTGGTAATAAACCTGGGATTAGTTGTACAGGCAGGTATAGCAGCCTGTGACGGAGTGACCAAACAGTCTTCAGAGCTGCACTGCATGCTTCCTGCCCCTCCCCCCCGGCATCGTTTTGAGGGCTGCTGTCTTCTGTCTCTGATGGCCCAAGGTTCTCACCTTATTGCACCTTCTGTGTTTGACTTCTCCGTTTGTATTTCTTTATATTAATGACTTTCGGGGGCGGGCGGTAATGAGGCACATAGTAAACAAAATGATACAGCAGCGTGTATGGTAAAATCCAAGATTCCCTCTGTCCTCTTCCCTGGCCCCACTCCACACAACCCCTGCCGTTTCTTTACACTGTCGGGGCTGTCTTCTCTCTATAGCCTCTACTTTTACTTCATGGGTGCCATAACTAAGTGCTCACCACAGTCATTATTTCCCTCCTTTCTCTTCTTAGTTTGTAGGTTGAAATAACATCAACAACAAAACCCCTAATAATTGACATTTGGTAACCAGTTAAAACACTAGATTTTTTTTTCCAGTTACTCTGCAATAATATAATTTTCAAGCAGTCAGTCTTTAAATATCACTTTTTGATTTTATTTATTTATATTTTACTTATTACTTTTATTTTATGTGTACAAGTGTATTGTCTGCATGTATGTGAGTGCACCCATGTCGTGCAATGCCGCGAAGGTCAGAAGAGGCTTCAGATTCTCCTGGAACTGGAGTTAAGGACGGTTCGTAGCCGCCATGTGAGTGCTGGGAATTGAACCTGGGTCCTCTGCAAGAGCAGTCAGTGCTCTTGACCGCTGAGCCGTCTCTCCAGCCTAGTTTTATTTTTTATTCCCAGTTTTCTATGATATCCACTGTTGAAAGACCCAAGTAGGAGATGGTGTGCCTTTTTCTGTTTTCTTTCTTTGGTGTTGGGGATCACACCCAAGGCCTCATGCTGGCTAGGCATGCCCTTAATTACTGAAGTATACACCAGCCCCAGTCATTTTCTCAAGCAGAATTTAGTTTTAGTTGCTCACAGGAAGAGATTTTTAAGGGGAAGAGACTCAATATTTGAGCTATAATTGTAGCCAGTTTCCAGTCAGCATTTTTGGAACTCTTTAACTTGATGATGAATGGCCAATGTGCATTTATCACTATATACTTAAAAAGCATGAGTGTCTTAATTATCTAAATATAGCCATATCTGGAAGCCCTGATTAGTATAGGCTCTATAGCTAATTACTGCTTTCTCTGTGAATGATGTGTTAAACTCCTTGTCAAAGGTAGTCACAGTAATAAAACAGAGTAATGACTGAGAACACCAGTTGTGAACAGAAGACATAAAAAGAGATAAGAGGGGCTGGAGAGATGGCTCAGCAGTTAAGAGTACTGGCTTCTCTTGTCTAGGACCCACGTTCAATTCTCAGCACCCACACAGCAGCTTACAACTACCTGTAACTCCAGTTCCAAGGGGCACCCTCTTTTGTCCTCCTTGGGCATTGCACACACGTGGTGCACTTACAGACAGGCATACAAAGCTAAGAATACAGTGTTCTGGTATTGATGCATTCTCAGTCCATGGTTAATTCTAGGAAGGGGACTATGGCAGTTTTCTCCAGATGTCAGGAGAGAACCAGAGCTGTCAAACATTGTATTCTAACTGAATTAGAGATGAAATACTGCAGAAAGACATTAGCAACTTGGCTTTAGGAAGTACCAGTACCTTGTGTTGGTGCCCTCCTCCATGTTACCCACGCCAAACCAAATAAAAGCATTGTTACCGTCTGTCCTTTCTCATAGAATGTATCTGAAATATGGGAGCCCAGTTAAAATGATGGAGAGTTACATTGCAGTTCTCACCAAGGGAATCTGCCAGAGTGAAGAAAATGGCTCTTTCCTGAGCAAGGACTTTGATGCTCGAAAGGCATACCTTGCAGGCTCCATCAAAGGTAAGAAAGGGTTGAAAAAAACCCAAAAGCACTGGCCATAAAATCCCCAAGCCCAAATGATTTTCTTCTGTATAAAATGTATAGGAAACCCTCATGTTTCGTTGTTGAGTTAGAATTCTGTCCAGGGAAAACATTTTGTGTTATTCCTTTCCTCATTATTCCGTCTGTTACAGAAATGTTCTTTTACCAGTGAGCTAAATTTCATGGCTTCATAAATTTCATGACTTCCATAGTTTCTTTCCTCACGTCCTAGCCATTAGCCCTGCCATCCAAAGCACTCAGGCTGCTGTCACAGTCTATCGTCTAGATCTTTGCTAGGGAATTCACAATGACAGACAGCCCAGAGCTAAGCCACAGATCTTGGGGTTCTCTAAAGGTGGAGCCACCAGGCATCATATCCTCCCACAGTGCCTGCCTGCTTATTCTTGGCCCTTTGTGGTTTCTGAGCATTTTGTTGAGGTCTTGAAAATTTTTCAAGATAGTTGAAAAGGGGCTGGCAAGATAGTACAGCAAGGAAAGGTGTATGCCACCAAGCCTGAAAACCTAAGTTCAATGCCTGGACCTTCATGGTGGAAAGAGAACTAATTGACTTGTGAAAGCTGTCCCCTGACCTCCGAACATGCACACACAGGCACGCAGGGACACACAAACGCAGACAAGCACACACAAATTACTTCTAGCAGGGCATAGTGGCGCATGCCTTTAATCCCAGCACTTGAGAGGCAGAGGCAGGTGGATCTCTGTGAGTTTGAGGCCAGCCTGGTCTCCATAGAGAGTTCCAGGCCAGCCAGGGGTGCTACAGGGAAACTTGTGTCAAAAAAAAAAAAAAAATTTCTTATACCTAAAAAAAAAAAAAAGACAGGAAAAGGACTTAAGTATAGAGATGAGGGTAGTGAATATCTTAAAGATTTTTAATTTAAAAAAAAATTTATTTTATGTGTATGAGTGTGTTGCCTGCATGTATGTGAGTGCACCCGTGTCATGTGGAGGTCAGAATTAAGGATGGTTCTTAGCTGTCATGTGGGTACTGGGAATTGAACCTGCAAGAGCAGTCAGTGCTGTTAACATCTGAGCCATCTCTCCAGCCCCTATTTTTAACTAGGCATATGTGTGTATATCTTTGTGTAGGTTTGTACATGGGAGTGCAGGTGCCCTCTGAGGCCAGAAGAGGGCATCAGATCCCTGGAGCTAGACTTACAGGCAGTTGTGAGCCACCTGACACAGGTGCTGGGAACTAGAGTCCTTTGTAAGAGCAGTGTGTACTTTTTACTGCTGAGCCATCTCTCCAGCCCCAAGTGAACTTTCTTTTTTAATAAGGAATTTTTATGGAATTTAGAAAACTATTTATTCATTATTGGGGGGGACACAAGTGCCATGACACACATACGTAGGTCAGAGAACAGCTTTGTGGAGTCTGTTCTCTCCTTCCACCTTTCCCTGGGTTTTCAAGAACTGGCTCTTCATGGTTCACAGCAAGCACTTTTAGATGTTGAACCAGCTCTCCATCCCCCAGTGACATTTTTATGACATAGAAAAATGTTGGTTCCCCTTCATGTCACTATTCCACTTCCTTATGAGTCTGGCTTCATCTGTGCATCCAGCATACCCCTTGTGGGGCAGCTATTGGCACCTCTAATACACATCCTGGTGAGCAGACATGAATAAATGCACCCGTCTATCTGCCAAATGAGGGCCTTCCACACGAAATCATTAATCTTTCCTTGCTGCACATTTATCTTGTGTATTAAAAATAATTTTGTGGCTGGGCGTGGTGGCACACGCCTTTAATCCCAGCAGAGGCAGGCAGATCTCTGGGAGTTCAAGGCCAGCCTGGTCTACATATTAAGTTCCAGGACAGCTGGGGCTACAGGGAGACCCTGATTCAAAAAGACCAAAAATAATAATAATAATTTTGTGTTCATTAGACAAGAATTCTTTCTGATAAAGACTTTATGCCATTACATAATATTTAATGCAATATTATATAATCTCTCTTTAAGACATTGTATCTCAATTTGGAATGGAAACTGTTATCTTACATACAGCATTGATGCTAAAAAAACGAATTGTCGTCTATCACCCCAAAATAGAAGCTGTCCAGGAGTTTACCAGGTACCATTACTAATTACTAAAAGGTATGACCTTTCTTGACAGTTGGGAAGCTGGATGAGCCTATGTGCTATGCTCTTGCATATTTGGTAGAAAGAATGTGCATTAGTCTTAAGAGTAAAATATAGTTTTTGTGTTTCAGTTTAGAACTAACGATTCAGCATCACTGAATTTAGACAGATTGTTCTTTAACTTTAGAATTTTTTATTTTTATTTATTTTGATCTATTTGGGGGGGGGGCAGTCTTTATGAGACAGGGTCTCCCTGTAGCCCCAGCTGGTCTGGAACTTGCTATGTCAACGAGGGTGGCCTTGAGCTCACAGAGATCTGCTGCCTGCCTCTGCCTCCTAAGTGCTGGGATTAAAGGCATGTGCCACCATACCTGGCCAGAAATAGAACTTTTTAAAATAAATTATTTGTATTTTATGTGTATGAGTGTTTGCCTGCCTGGACGTAAGTGCACCACATGTGTACAATGCTTTCAGAGGCCAGAAGAGGGCATCAGATCTTCTGGAACTGAAGTTAGGGCTGAAGTTAGAGCTTAGCTGCCATGTGGGTGCTGGGAACCAAACCTGGGTCCTCTGCAAGAGCAGTCAGTGCTCTTAACCATTAAGCCATCTCTCCAGCCTCAAAATAGGATTTTTTGTTGTTGTTTGTTTCTGTTTTGTTTTGTTTTTTTTTTCTTGAGACAGGGTCTCCCTGTAGCCATAGCTGGCCTGGAATGTACTACATAGATCAGGCTAACCTCACATAGAGATCTACCTGCCTCTGCCTCCTGAATCCTGGGATTAAAGCACCACCAAGCCTGGCTCCAAATAGGAATATTTTATTATTTTAAATTTTCATTTCTTTATTTTCTATTTTATGTATATGAATGTTATGTCTATATGTATGTAAGTGCCCCCATGTTGTAGGGTGCCCAAAGAGAACAGAAGAGGGTGTCAGAACCCCATGGAACTGGAATTACAGATGATAATTAGCTGCTATGTGGATGCTTAGATTCAAACCCAGGTCTTCTGCAAGAGCAGCCAGTGCTCTTAACTGCTGAGCCATCTCTCCAGCTCCAAATAGGACTATTTTAAAGTAGGGAATTAGCAAACTTTTCCTTGAAAGAAAATAAATAATTTAAGTCTCTGCCAATTTCTCAGCTGCCTGGGAAGCAGGAAAGTAAGCCTAGGCCCTAGGCATGTGTGACTGAATGGGCATGGCTGTGTCAATAGGACTTTATTTTCCAAAGATAGGCAGCTGGCCCAGGTAGCCTAGTTTGTTGACCTCTATTTTAAGTAACTTGCTCCTTATGTTCAGTTCTCCCTGACTCTCATCATTATAGTAAATATGGAGTGGGTAAAGTTTTTTGTTTACTAAATATAGCTTGTTCTTAAATCCTTTTTAAAAGCAAAAAGAGTTGGTTGGCATTTGTGTTGGATTTATTGCATGCCATGCATTATATAAGTAAGATACCTTAAACTATTAAACTTACTCATGATAAGAACGATGCAAAGGAGTAGCATTTCTGTGTTTTATGAATGAGAAAATTGAGGCTGGCAGAGGCCAAGTGGCAAGATTATGAAAAGGAGAAAGACTTTATAGACCAAAAGCCCTGGGTTAAAATCCTTCCATGGCAACTTGTTAGTTCATGACCACATAAAAGATATGAAATGTTTCTGAGCCTCCATTGCTGTGTCTGTAAAACGAGGATTATAATACAGACTTTGTGAGCTTGTTTTCAGTAGTGGGAGTAATTTATGGGGTGTGCTCAGCATGAGCCTGGCCCTTCAAGCCTGCTTTAGAAATGATTATTGTGCCAGGTGTGGTGGCGCATGCTTTTAATCTCAGCACTCAGGAGGCAGAGGCAGGGATTTCTGTATTAGTTACCATTCTGTTGCTGTAATAAAACTTGACCAAGGCCAGTTATAGAAGGAAGAGTTTATTTAACTTATGTTTCCAGAGGGATGAGTCCATCATGGTGGGGGAGGTATGGCAGGAGACAGCAGGAGCAGAAAGCTGAGGGCCCACATCTTCCAGCAGGCACAGGAAGCAGAGAGACAAACTGGAAATGGAATGAACCTATGAACTCTCAAAGCCCACCCCCAGTGACGTGCTTCCTTCAGCAATGGATTCCACATCTTTCCCATGGGGGACATTCTTCATCATTCTGCAAATTTTTGTTTTTGTTTTTGTTTTGTTTTTTTTGTCTTTTTGAGACAGGGTTTCTCTGTAGTCCCAGCTGTCTTGGAACTCACTATGTAGACCAGGCTGGCCTTGAACTCACAAAGATCCACCTGCCTATGCCTCCCAAGTGCTGAGATTAAAGGCGTGCGCCACCATGCCTGGCTTTTTTTGGGGGGGTGGGGGTTTCATTCTGCAAATTTTTGGAAAGTTAACCTTGAGCTTTTTGTAGCCAATCTGACCCCAAAAGTAGAGTTTAAAATGTGTAGCCAGGTTTGGTGGCATGGCAGGAGGCTTGCATGAGTCCCACCTGGGATACATAGTGAGTTCCTGACCAGCCAGGGCATAAAACAAATGGACTGGGTGTGGAGGCACACACCTTTAATCCTAGTGCTATGGAGGCAGAGGCAGGCGCATCTCTGAGTTTGAGGCCAGCCTGGTCTACATGATGAATTCCAGGCCATTTCAACAGACAGACTGACAGACAGATTAAATGCATTCCAGGCCATTTCAACAGACGGACGGACAGACAGACAGACAGACACACACACACACACACAGTGGTCTTGCTTTATTATAAAGCCTGGAGATATTAGCACATTTGAAGCTTGATTTTTTTCCTCTGCTCCTGACTAGCCAGTCCCAGGCTTTCAGGCTTTACCCTTCCTATAAGTTTGTTCTTGGGAGAAGGGGCAGGCAAGTCTCTAAGGTGAGGGGCCGCAACTATGTGACTGAGTTTTTGCCTTCATTCCTCAGGACTTTGCCTGCCCTGGTGTGGCACCGACAGGATTGGACCATCCTGCATTCTTACGTGCACCTGCATGCTGATGAACTGGAAGGCCTGCAGATGTGCACAGGTAGATGACAGCATCACAGCAGAGGAAAGGCTCTGCTTAGGTTCATTTGGTCTATGTATTTGGAGGGCAGAGAGGTCGAACATATTCCTAAAGGGAATACTGATCACAGTTCTTTCTTTGGCAGATAGAATTTCTTTTCTCCCTTTCAAAACCTTATTTTTAAGGATTCTGGTAAAAATGTTAACTTCGTTTTAGGTTTTTCCTAGTGTTAGAAATTGAACCAGAGCATCATGCTTGCTCAGCAAAGCCTCTACCTCTGAGCTACATTTCCAGCCCCAAGTAATAAGTTTTTTTTAAAAAAAAAAAAAAAGATTTAGTTTTGGGGGCTGGAGAGATGGCTCACTCTTCTTGCAGAGGACCTGGGTTCAAATCCCAGCACCTACATGGTGTCTAACAACCATCCCTAACTCCAGTTCTAGGGGATCCAACGCCCTCTTCTGCTTTTCTTGGGCTCTGCACAACATGGGTGCACTTACGTACATGGAGGCATAACACTCATACCCATAAAATTAAAAAAAAATTTTTTTTAAAGATTGAGTTTTTAGTTTTAATTATGTGTATTTATGAGACTGCCTATGTGCATATGGGTTCAGGTGCCCTCAGAGTGAGACCCTGCCTCAAAAAACAAACAAGAGCCCAGTGCCACTGGGATTTTTTTTTTTTTTTCTTTTTGAGACAGGGTCTCCTTGTAGTCCCAGCTGTCCTGGAACTCACTATGTAGACAGGCTGGCTTTGAACTCATAGAGATCCCCTGCCTCTGCCTCTGCCTCTGCCTGCCAGGCGCTTAAGAAAAAAAAAAAATCTTCCACAGAAAAAAGGGTTAGTCTCCTGTGTTTTTTTACAAAAGTTTTTTTTTTTTTTTCATTTAGTTTGTTAATCTACCTGGAGTGTTTTTTTGTTTTATAGTATATGAGTTTGGAGCCTAATTTTTTCCCCAAGATTTGCTCTTTAAGTATGAATATGCTGGGGGGGTGGTGCATGTGAATGCATGTATCTTCAGAAGACAGAGGTCGGATCCCCTGGAGCTGGAGTTGTAGGTGGTTGTGAGCCACTTTACTTAGGTGCTGGGAACCGAAATCAGGTCCTCTGCAAAAAACAGTACCCACTGTTCTTTTTTCTCTCCTTCTCGGTTCATATATTGAGTCTTTGGTGCTGGGATTGAATATGCTCTACCACTGAGCTATACACCAAGCCCCTGATTTCATTTTTCTTCCCATATGAATGATCACGTGGACTCAGGGCATATTGACTGCCTGGTTTTTCCTGTAATCAGCAGGGCCCTTCTATTGTGTTTCATGTGTTCTCAGATGATTTGTCTGGTTCTGGCTTTCAGCACTAGGTTTTGGGTTTGTTGCTAATGTTTTTAATTATACGTGGAAGCGTAAAACTTAGCAATAACAAGTTAGACCTCAAAAAAACCCAACAAAAACCCAAATCACTTCTATGGGTGTGGCTCAGTGGGAGAGCACTTGCCTAGCAGGCAAGAGGCCCTGGGTTCAGTACCCAACACTGTAAAACTCCCAGTTTTTTTTGTTTGTTTGATTTTTGTTTTTGTTTTTTTGTCTTTTTGAGACAGGGTCTCCCTGTAGCTCCAGCTGTCCTAGAACTCACTATGTAAACCAGGCTGGCCTTGAACTCACAGAGATCTGCCTGCCTCTGCCTCCCAAGTGCTGGGATTAAAGGCGTGTGCCCCCACACCCGGCCTTGTTTTTGTTTTTTTTTTAGTATTTTATTATTTTTATTTTATGTGTATGAATGTATTGCTGGCATGTATGTGAGTGCACCTGTGTTGTGCAATGCCGCAGAGGTCAGAAGAAGGCTTCGGATTCCCCTGGAACTGGAGTTAAGAACTGTTTGTAGCCACGATGTGGGTGCTGGAAATCGAACCTGGGTACTCTGCCAGAGCAGTCAGTGCTCTTAACTGCTGAGCCATCTCTCCAGCCCCAAAACTCCTAGTTAGTCTCTGAACTAACTGCAGTGTGGGAACCCTTGCTTTAAACAGAACCAGTTCTAGAAGCCCAGTGGTTCCTTTAGCATTTATTGTATCAGATCTGAAAGCAGTCAGAGGTGGTCTCCACATCATCCCTGACAGCCCAGGCATGTGACTCTGTGTTCTTGGGGACAGAGCTCTGCAGTGGGGGACAACGGCTGAGTCCATGTTACTTTCTGGCATTCTTTTTCTTTTTTAAAAAAGCAGAGTTGGAATTTTTATTATGCAACAGTTTTAATATGTTTTAAGCATGAGGATTAAGAGTCAAGTCACTGGGAAAGAAAGACACACCCAAGAGCATGGACACACCCAGAGAAAGCTGCTGCCTGACATTCTTGACCCAAATTAACACTGACCAAAAAGTAAATGTTTCACTTTAGCCTTGTTCCTTGACACCAAACTTAAATTTTGAAACATTTTGAGTTGTAGGAATTTCTTCAGGCAGCTGACAGTGATATAGTCTAATAAAGGCTACAGGATGCAGCTAATTGTCCTGACTAAATGAAACCCTGAAGAAAAGCAGCCGCTGAGCTATTGAAGTCAGTTCTCTTGAGACAGTCACAATATGATTTCTTTCTGCTCCAGTAATTTGTCAATTTGCCATGCAGGTTACATTGCTGGCTTTGTAGATTTGGAGGTGAGCAACAGACCTGACCTCTACGATGTGTTTGTGAACCTGGCAGAGAGTGAAATCATCATCGCGCCACTTGCAAAAGGTGACTTTCTTCTCTGTTCTATCCTCCGCTCCAGCCCTGACAGGAGGGATAAGCTAAGCGGCTGTCTGCTTTTAGCCGAGAGCCTGCTGAGCCTCTACTGAGGCCTGGGGATTTCTCAGGGCCTGGCTGCTTTATCTTTACACACCTAGACGTGGCAGCAGTACCACTGGGCTCTGGTGGTGGCTTCTGTGTGGTCACTTGCCCTTTTCCTAGAAGTGGAATGAGCCGAATGCTGGCTCATTAGGGTCTGTGTTGGATAGCTTCAGATATGAGGGCTTTAGCCAACAGCTTCAAGTGGATAAAACCAGTATTGGTTTCCTTATTCACTGGTTTTAAAATTTCAAAGATGATCATGTTCATGTGGAAGAATCTAACTAGAATCAGACCTTTAGGAAATATGCCTCTTATAAGGCCAAAGTGATAGAAAATGGCTGTCCAGGCCCAGTGAGATGGCTGAGGCTGAGGGCCAGGAAGGGTAGGCGAGGCCTGGTGTGTTCTGAGTCTACAGAACAGGCTCAGTCTGATCAGCACTATCTGGCTGGAGTTTGTCCCTTGCGGGGCACACAGAACTTTCTGTGGGTCTTGCTGCAGGCTGTAGCACCGTCTGTAATTCATATGCCTCGGGCTGTTTTTCTTTGCTGGTTTGCTGGTTTGCTGGTTTTTCTTTGCTCCGCACACACCGAGCAATCCATGGGTACCCCAGGCCTGGCAGGAAGTTCTTCTTTCACAACATTCTTACCAGAAAAATGTGCTTAAGCTCCTAACTGTAAAGACTTAGACAAGATGGTCAGGCTTTTGCCTTCAAGTCATAGATTGCTTGGAGCCAGGCCTTTTCATTCAGTTTTGAATGGAAATTTTTTTAATTTTGCTCTTTTGAGACAGGGTCTCCCTGTAGCCCCAGCTGTCCTGGAACTCACTGTGTAGACCAGGCTGACCTTGAACTCACAGAGATCCGCCTGCCTCTGCCTCCCGAGTGCTGGGATTAAAGACGTGCACCACCATATCCGGCAGGAAAAAATTTTTATCAGGTGCTGTGGAAGGGAAATTTGGTTTAGTGTTTTCCTTTGGGGTGTGATGTGTGTCAGTCCCAGTCAAGCCTTGCCTTCTCAGATGGTGTTACATCTATGTTAGCAACAAAATGGAAATGTGTGTAAATTCCTAAGTATTCACACAGCACATTCTTTTTTGCTTTCACCAGAGGCCATGACACTGGGCAAACTACACAAAGAAATTGGCCAGCTAATTGTGCAGTCTGCAGAAGACCCGGAGAGGTCAGACAGCCAGGTTATACAGGTAACCCCCAATCTCCCTTTCGAGGCATCCCGCAGTAGCCTAGCCTCACTGGCAGCCTGCGGTGGAGCAGGATGTTCTCTTTGGGCACAGTAGCAGTGTGAAGTGCCAAGGGACAGGCCAGGAGCAGGTGCTAGCATGAGGGTTTGCAGTTGCCAAGAAGATAGATGGGGGTCACTGTAGGGGCTGGTACTGAAGCCAGCCCTCATGGTGGTGTGGGGCAGGGGTAAGTGTAATCGAATGGACTGGAATGCCTGTAGGAGCCACCAGTGTGTTCTGTTCTGCTAGAATTTTCTTGGAGGGGCAAATGATGAACACATGGTTGCTGCTGAACCTGGGGACTAGATAAATGGTTGCAGTCAGTTCTGCTGCAGAGCCCCCTTCTGGGGTGGCGGCATCTGTCAAGCTGACAGAGTCTGTGTGCACTAGTCAGCACCCTGTCTTCTGCCCTCACCAACCTGGGAGGGCAGATGGTTTTATTCCTGGGCTTTTCTATATGATGCCAAAGCCCCCCCCCCCCCAACACTGGTCCAGTCTCTTCTTGCTGGTCCTTTGCCTGCTCCCAGCTCTCTCCTAGCCTAGCCACTCCAGGATCCCCTGTCTTCACCTGGGACACCAGGGGGGCACCACTGTGAAGTAGACACAGCCAGTTAGCTTGGTCATCCCACCTTGCACATTTCTTCATTTTTCCATTATTCTTTGAGCACTGGGCAGTGAATTCAGTGTGAGCAGAGTCCCTGCCCCCATAGAGCTTGCATTTTGGTGGAGCAGATGACTAAAGAATAACCATCAGGACACTTGTAAACCATAGTAAATGTTGTGAGAGAAATAAGGGTTGAGGTAGACTTTTGAGGAGGTGACATGGAAGCAAAAAGATACAAGGGGCAGCAGGCTTTGGCAGGGACGACTAGCAGCACTGTTCTGCTCAGTGTTGGCGGCCTGGCCAGCTGTGGCCAGCAGAAGTGGGTGGGTCTCATCTGCTGTCCTCCCCTGTGAACTGGCATTGCCTTCCATCATCATCAGAGCAGAAACACCTCTCATTTTTTAAAACTTTTGAGTTTCATACATGTATATGAAGTATTCTGATATCAACCATCCCCTCCCCTTCAGCTTCCCCTGGAGTACCTCCAACACTCCCCACTCCCAAATACATGTCCTCTTTTGTTTTTTTTTAATTTCCCCTGGGTCCACTTGGTACTGCCCGCATGCACATGGCTGTGAGGCCATCCGCTGAAGTATGGGCAACGTACCAGTAGCCACAGCCCTAAGGAAAAATGACTCTTCTTCCCCCAGTGGTTGGTAACTGTCAATACATCAGCCAGGGGTGGGGCCTTGTGAGCCTCACCCCCATCCATGCTAGGATTTTAGCTGGCTGACTCCTGTGTAGGTTTTGTGCATGTAACTACAGCTGCTGTGAGTTCATGAGTGCTGTGGCTATGTTGTCTAGAAGACGCATCTCCCAGCACTCCTCCAGTCCCATCCTCCAGCTCTTACATTCTTTCTGCCCTCTCTTTTATGATGTTCTCTGGGCCTTGGATGTGTGTTCTAGTTTGTTTCTCCATTGCTGTGACAAAATACTCTGACCAATACCAACTTGGGGGAAGAAAGCGTTTATTTGTCTTACATCTCCCAAGTCACAGTTCATCAGGGAGCCCAAGGTAGGAACTCAGGGCAGGAACCTGGAGGAGGTAGGAGCTGGAGCACAGGCCATGGAGGAACACTGCTTACTGGTTTGCTCCCCTGGCCCATGCTCAGCCTGCTTTCTTATACAATACAGAACCACCTGTGTGGGGTGGCACCGCCCACAGTGGGCTGGACCCTCCCACATCACTCAACAATCAAGAAAATACCCCACAGACATGGCCACAGACCAGTCCAGTGGAGGCAATTCACCAGTTGAGGCTCCCTCAACCCAGGTGTATCAAGTTGACACTAAGCTATCCAGCACAGTCTGTGTGTATATCATATAGATGTCTTGAGGACTCACAGTCATTCTCAACACTTTGATTAGTTATGGATCTCTGTATTGACTGCTGCCCATTGCAAAATGTGTTTCTCTGACCAAGGCTGAAAATGGCACATATATATGAATATAAACATAGATATTTAGAAGATGTCATGACCATTTAACAAAACAATAGTAAATTAATTACCCCCTGGGGCTTATGACCTCCCCAGCCTCCGGCTTTTGACTAGGCTTACAGTACCAGGCCTGCCTGAATGCCCTGTGGAGCAGGCCTCAGATCTGATCAGAAGGCTCTTGGTTACCCCCATAGCAGTCATGGCACTTTTGCACCAGTGGACTCATCTTGCCTGGCAGCTCAGTATTGTGGCTTACAAGGTTCAGCGCTGGGTAAGACCATTGCTATCCTGGGAGAGAAACTCCAGTGGCCTGCGTAGCACTTTGAGCACTGTAAAAGCTAGCCATCAGGGATGGGGCTTCCTGGTCAGTTTCAGTTTCAGGTTGATTTCTCTAGGTCCTGTGACCAAAGTGTGTGATATCTTCAGCAATTGGGTCTTTTTTTTTTTTTTTTTGGTCTCCCTGTAGCCCCAGCTGACCTAAACTCACTATGTAGACCAGGCTGGCCTTGAACTCACAGATATCCATCCACTTGCCTCTCTCTGCCTGCCAAGTGCTGGAATCAAAGGTGTGCACCACCATGCCTAGTCAGCAGTAGGGTTTTAACATCTAGTTATGGCAATAGCCTGAGAAATCCCCCTTTCTTTTTAAAAATAACTTTTTAAAATTTGGGGCTAGAGTGATGGCTCAGTAGTTAAGAACACTGACACTGATACTGACTGCTCTTGCAGAGGACCTGGGTTCGATTCCCAGCACCCACATGGTGGCTAACAACTGTGTGTAACTCCAGTTCCAGAACACAACACCCTCTTCTGACCCCCCCCCCCCATGCACTGCATGAACCGGTGTACTTACATACATGCAGGCAATATAGCATACATATAAAATGAAAATAACCTTTTTTGATTTTTAAAAATTTATATTGTCGGGCGTGGTGGCGCACGCCTTTAATCCCAGCACTTGGGAGGCAGAGGTAGGTGGATCTCTGTGAGTTCAAGGCCAGCGTGGTCTTGAGTTCCAGGACAGCTGGGGCTACAAGGAGACCCTGTCTCAAAAAAGACAAAAAAAAAAAAATTGTTTGTAATGTGTATGAGTGATGTATTCACGGATGTAAGTGCACCACATGTGTGCAATGCCAGTGGAGGCTAGAAGAGGGGATCAGATTTGGAAGTGGAGTTATGAATGGTTGTTAGCTGCCATGTGGGTGTTAGGAACAAAACTGAGGTCTTCTGGAAGAGCAGCCAATACTCTTAACCACTGAGCCATCTCTCTAGCCCTGCAACACTCATTTTTAAACATTGATCAGATGTGTAGATTGCAGTTATATATTATTTGGATTATTTCTCATAGGTTAGAAGTAATACATAGGGGGCTGCTTTTAGCAGAGGACCTGGGTTTGGCTCTCAGCACCCACATGGTGGCTAACAACCATCCATAACTCCAGTTCCAGGGGAATCTGACCCCCTCTTCTGACCTCTGTGGACATTGCATAACACGGGTGCACTTATATATATGTAGGTGATACATTCATACACATAAAATAAAAATAAAATATTTAAAAAGAAAAAGAAGGGGCTGGAGAGATGGCTCAGTGGTTAAGAACACTGGTTATTTTTGCAGAAGACCTGGGTTCAAATCCCAGCACCCACATGGCAGCTAACAACTGTCCATAACTCCAGTCCCAGGGGATCCAACAGCCTCTTCTGTCCTCCGTGGGCACTGCACGACACAGATGCACTTACCTACATGCAGGCAATACACGCATACACATAAAATGAGAATAACAAAATAAGAAAAACAAGTACTCATAGGTAATTCCATATAGTATATGAGATCTTAGGGAAGGTAAATGAAAGTGCTCAGTGTGTGATAAAGGTCCAGAAATATTCAAGTGGTGTGATAGCAGTAAACCAGGCAAAAGACATAATTTTTTTTTTAATTTTTAAAACTAAAAAAAATTTTTTTTTTGTCTTTCTGAAGCAGGGTCTCCCTGTAGTCCCAGCTGTCCTGGAACTCACTATGTAGACCAGGCTGGCCTTGAACTCACAGAGATCCACCTGCCTCTGCCTCCCAAGTGCTGGGATTAAAGGTGTGTGCCACCACGCCCGTCTAAAATTTTTTTAATTTTAATGTGAGTCACCAGCTGCTCAGAGGAGTGCCAGTCACAGAGTAGGCATGAAGTCTACAGGTTGCTCTCCAAGGCAAATGGGGGGGGGGCTCATTTGAAAGATGGAAACCACAGAATGTATTATTCAGCAATTCTGCTTCTAGGTAGATACCCACAGGAACTGAAGGCAGAAACTGAAACAGACTTTAACCAGCAGTGTTGTTTAATCCCATCAAAAGATGAAATAACCTGGTTGTCCAGCAGAATGAATGGATAAACAGACTAGTGTGCAGCCTTAGAAAGAAGGTGGTTTCAATATAGTATTGTATGAATGAACCTTGAGGACACGGTGACATCATGCTGTGAAACAAGGTGGTGACAAGAGGATAGATATGACTTCACTTAAAAGTACTCAGAATAGGCAGATTCATAGAGGAAGAGGTAGAATAAGGTCTCCAGGGCTCTGAGGGAGGGAGCTGAGGGTTACTGTTAATGGGCACTCAGCTTATGCCTGGGATGGTGAAAGAGGTAAGAAATAGCACAACCTGGTGACTCCTCTTTTCTTCACTTCTTTTTAATTATCATTATTGTGTGCGTTATGCATGCTGATCAGAAGATAACTTCTAGGAGGTGGTCCCTTTCCACCATGGTTCCAGGGATCAAACGTTTTCAGGCCTCTTTGCCAAGCCTTTTTACCTGCTGAGCCATCTTGCTGACCCTCATGGTGACTTCTTTTTTAAATATTTTATTTATTGTTTTTACCTTATGTGTTTGAGTGTATTGTCTGTATGTAGGTTGGTACTCCCATGTTGTACAGTGCCCACGGAGGTCAAAAGAGGTCCCCTGGAACTGGAGTTAGGACGGTTGTTGGGTGTTGGGAATTGAATCTGGGCCCTCTGCAAGAGCAGTCAGTGTTCTTATCTGCTGAACCCTCTCTCCAGCCCCTCATGGTGTCTTCTTAATACCACTACCTTATACACTTAAAAATGGCTAAAATGGTTATAAACAAATCTGAGACATTGATTTTTGTTGAGTTATATTGTTTTCAAAATTTATAAAATTGCCAGGCACGGTGGCACATGCCTTTACTCTCAGCATTTGGGAGGCAGAGGCAGGCAAATTTCTGAGTTCCAGGCCAGCTGTGTCTACAGGGAGACTTTGTGTCAAAAAAACAAACAAACAAAAATATAAAACTAGGGGCTAGCTAGAAGACTCATTGGTTAAGAGCACTGGCTGCTCCTGCAGAGGACCCGGGTTCATTTCCCAGCACCCACATGGCAGCTGTCCGTAACTGCGGTTCCAGGGGATCTGACTCCCTCTTCTGGCCTCCACAGGTTTTGCATGACACAGGTACACTTTTTGACATACAGTCAAAACACTCAGAAAAGGAGCTGAACAGATAGCTCAGTGGTTAAGAGCACTGACTGCTCTTCTGAGGACCTGGGTTCAATTCCCAGCACCCACATGGCAGCTACAAACCGTCCTTAACTCCAGTTCCAGGGGAATCCAAAGCCCTCTTCTGACCTCCGCGGCATTGCACAACACGGGTACACTCACATACATGCAGGCAATACACTCATATACAAAATAAGAATAATTAAAAAAATTTTTTTAAATAATTTAATTTATAAAATTAGATTAAAAATACAGTAAGAGCTGGGCGTGGTGGCGCATGTCTTTAATACCAGCACTTGGGAGGCAGAGGCAGGCGGATCTCTGTGAGTTCGAGGCCAGCCTGGTCTACATAGTGAGTTCCAGGACAGCTGGGGCTACAGGGAGACCCTGTCTCAAAAAGACCCCCCAAAAAAAGCAGTAAGAATTCTAGGGAATTACTTCATAGTTTCAGATACTAACAAATATTTTCCTGTTCTGTTAAAGGATATTGCCCTAAAAACAAAAGAAATCTTCACCAACCTAGCACCATTTTCAGAAGTCTCAGATGATGGAGGAAAGATAACCCTCAACTTTGAGGCACTGAAACAAAAGCGATTTCCACCTGCAACGGAAAACTTCCTCTACCATCTAGCAGCGGCTGAACAGATGCTGAAAATCTGACTGACTTGCTGATGGTACTACAAAGCTTTCCTTTCATTCCAACTTTCCATTAACTTTGTAAAATACTGGAATTACAGAGAACATATTATATTTTTAATGATTTATTTGAAAGTATTGAAATTTGATCTGAAAAACACCGAAACATAAAAATGGTTGAGATTTTCTCCCTGCCAATTCAATTCAGTGCTGGACAAAGTGCTTTAATTACAACTGTAAGGTTATAAGCTGCCTGCTGTCCCTCATGCAGAAGTCCTGCGGCGTGGAGTCCCACACAGATAGCGTTCTCATTCCTGTCAACTAACCATTTATTTTCAAAAAGCTGCCTGAAAGTTTGCTTTGTTTTAAAAGAACTTTAATTCTTCATGAGGAATTTTTCTTTCTGAGCCAAACTGCCAAGTTTTCTGCAGAACTGTCTAGAGGATCATTTGAAAGAGACTGAGGTTCTACTTCCTTGTAAAAGGAAAACTTTTTCTTGGCCTTTGAATATTTTGCCTATATTATGAGAGTTTGCACAGATTTTATACTTGAGTAGGCAAACTCTACTAACCCGTATTTATACTGTTAGAGAAGTGAGCATGCACACTTCAGCTACCTTCAGTTAACTCTGCTGCTAACAATATTCTTTAGAAAAGATGCCAGGCCTTGCAATATAATCCCTTTAAATTTAAACATCTACATTCCTGAGGCAATGTCTTCATAAGCTTTGCAGTCAGTGCTGGGGAGAGAACCCAGGGTGTCACATATGCCAGGCAAGTGCTGTCACAGCTAAACACCCAGCCCGAAATAATGCCTTCATAGAAGCAGCTTCTCCCAGGGGCCAGAACTACAGTGTCTACAAGGGACTGCAAGGAAAGTAACTTGGCTGCATCATCAAGGTTACTGTCTTGGGTACCTGTTCATTATTTGGAAACTTTAAAATTGCCAGCTAACACAGAGGTCTAGGTTATAGACTCTCTGTTTTACAATGTCTGTCATATGAATTGTGAGATTCATATGAATTTCCAGTCCTGTTACAGTACCTTCAGAACTACCAGGAAACATGTTTGCAAAAACTTCATCTGTATTGGGTGTTTCTTTTTTTTCTTATTGGTAAACATTTAAGTAAAAATAAAATACAGCCTTTCCTACTCCATGCTTGGGTGGGAACAGGGAGGACCTGATGTGACTTGTTTGCTGAGACTAACAAACTGAGGATTAAATTTGCACTTTATGAAAACAAGCACTAACATCATTTTCTCCCTTTTTTTGCATATGAATTCTAACATAGTAATGTTAGGATTACAAATAGTACAACAGAAGTATTTTGATAACAAAGTTTTAGTTTTAGTGAGGAATTTTGTCATTCTCTCCATTCCAAACGTAGACAAGACTGCCTCCACCTCAAAGATCTGCCTCCTGAGAGCTGGGATTAAAGATATGCCCCATCATGCCTGACAAAACAGCCACTTTTCTTTCTTTTTTTGGAGGGGGGTTCTTTTTGAGACAGGGTTTCTTGTAGCCCCAGCTGGCCTGGAACTCACTATCTAGACCAGGCTGGCCTTGAACTCACAGAGATCGGCCTGCCTCTGCCTCCTGAGTGCTGGGATTAAAGGCATCCACCACTATGCCTGGCTAACAGCCACTTTTCTAACTATAAAGATACTGAGGAATTACGAAAAGGTCTGTTTGAAAGTTAAAGCTAGGGCTGATGAGATGGCTCAGTGGGTAAAGGTGCTTACTGCCAAACCTGATGACCTGAGTTTTATCCCTGCATGGTAGAGGGAAAGAGCTTAACTCCTCAAGTTGGTCTCTGACCTCCACATGTGCATGCTGAAGCACTGGCACACAGGTGAATAGATGTAATCCATTACAAGTTAAAGCTGAGCCAAGCCATGATGCAGACCTTTCAATCCCAGCACTCAGGAGGCAGAGGGCAGGTGGATTTCTGTGAGTTCCAGGCCAGCCAGGACTATCTAGTGAGATTTTTGTGCCAGTCCCCTGCCCCCCAAAAAGTTAAAGCTGGGTTGGCCAGATAGCTCAGCAGGTAAAGGCATGTGCTGCCAAGCTTAAGGACCCACATGGTGGAAGAAAACTGCAAGTCCTGACCTGTACATGCACGCCAAAGTATACACCCTCCCACCACCCAAAATAAAAAATACAGTAAAAATAGAAGTCATGGGGCTGGAGAGATGGCTCAGCAGTTAAGAACACTGTTCTTACAGAAGACCTGGTTTCAATTCCCAGCACCCACATGGCAGCTAACAACTGTAATTCCAGTTCCAGGGGATCCAAAAGCCTCTTCTGTCCTCCGCAGGCATTGCACAACACAGGTGCACTTACATACATGCAGGCGTAACACTCGTAAAATAAAATATTAAAAAAAAAAGTCACAGCTATCTCCAGGCCTTATGTCCCAACCTTCGTCCACCATCCTTGCTTCTAGAAGCTTCCTCTGGAACTCCTGCTCTTCCCTCTACCTGCCTCCTGTCAGGGGCTGAACCTCCACCCATCCTGTTTTCCACCTTTAACTCTGAATACCATAAGCCTGTGGCTAGACTGAGCCACCTGGGAGCTCAATGGTTTTGTCTCTTGGGATTGCTGTGACACTTAAACCAAATGTGGAAATGACTGCTTCAGACAGGGCAAACTGAAGGGCACAGATACATTCTTTGATCTCAGCAGTACAGAACTATTCCTTGCTCCAGGATCCAAATGTTTAGCTGTCTTTGAAGACAGTCTGCTGGGGAAATGGACCTGTCAATAGGTCATGTGGTATGGCCAGGGCCAGATCAAGTATAGGTTGCTATGGAACCCTTGAGGCAGAGTTGGAAAGCCCATAACTCATGAGGAGCCAGCTAGTGCTGGGTCAGGACAGGAAATGGAGTGGCAAAATACGGTGAAGGTAGAGGCTATCTAACACCATGTAAGGGACTTGGATGTGGTCTTCACCACTAGGAGAGGGACTGTCAAAGAGCAGACAAGCATGGACTTCAGCAAGCCACACAGTAGCAAGGCTATGCCAGCAGGGGGTGCTGTTGTGCTAAACTGAAGTTGCACCAGCAATTAACACATGAAATTGGGGCAGTCTGAGGTGAAGGTTCCTGTCATACACAGCTGGATAAGTGGTGGCATGGGTCCCCAAGAATGGGAGGGAGCTGAACTCAGGCCCATGGCAGATCTTAGTGGTCAGCAAGAGTGGCACTGCAGGTCTGGGTGGGACCTGGGCAAGAGCAATCTCAGAAGAATGCAGGCTGGAGGCTGGGGCCAATCAAGGCAGACCTTGGAAAGTCTGGTTCGGAAAGAGGCTTTGCTTTTAAAGAAAAAGAATTTTGCTTTTTTTGTGTGTATGAGTGTTTTGCCAGCATGTATGTAAGTATACCCGTGTGTAATGCCTGCAGAGGTTAGAAGAGGGTGCTGTGTGCCCTGAACTGGAGTTACAGTTTTGGCCACCATGGGGTTGCTGAGAACTGAACTGGGGTGCTCTGCAAGAGCAGTTACACCCTTAACCACTGAGCCACCTCTCCACCCCCTTCTTTTTAAAAAAAATGTTTATTGTTTTTATTTTATGTGTATGAGTGTATTGCCTGCGTGTGTGTGAGTGCACCCATGTCGTGCAGTGCCGCGGAGGTCATTAGAAGGCTTCGGATTCCCCTGAACTGGAGTTAGGGACAGTTTGTAGCAGCCATGTGGGTGCTGGGAATCAAACCTGGGTCCTCTGCAAGAGCAGTCAGTGCTCTTAACTGCTGAGCCATTTCTCCAGCCCCTCCAGCCCCTTCTTTAAAAATAGATTTTATTGTTAATTATGTGTGTCTGTGTGCAGGTTTGTACATGTGCATGCAGATGCGTGCCAGGGGTCAGAAGAGGAAATGGTTATAGGCAGTGCACTATTAATTGCTGAGCCACCTCTCCAGCCTAATGTATTACTTCCTCGATAAAGCAAATGACTAAGTTTCAGTGCTCCTAGGAGGAGCCTGCAGAGAGGAAGACTAGAACCAGAGGCCATAGCACAAGGCCCTGAGGATGAGAGATGGGCATCTCACCACCTGAGAACTGATGTGTATAAGATCAGATGGATGTTGGGAAGGAGGGTCTGTTGCTGGCCAAGGACCTTGTTAGAGAAGTGACAGTCCTGTCATTCAGGGACCAGGGAGCAAACAACTTGCAGTTTTCTGGGATGAGGTTATGTGTAGGAACAAAATCACTGTGAGGGACAGAGGCCTTAATGGGCTATGTGTCTACCTGGAAGTGGGCTACCAAATGTTGTATCCAGGGCAGGTGCATCCTTTGCCTTTATTTTTTTTCAAGTACTCAACTTGAGACAAGTTTATTAGTAGTTTCACACTGTCCTTTCCCAGGCTGATTCTCACCTCACCTGCCACCCCCCAGCAGTCCCTGGGGTGTCAGTGGCTCTTCTAGTCAGCCTCAAAGCCCTAGCCACAGTAGGCCCTGAAGCCAGCCTCGAAGTCCTGGCCACAGTGGCCTTGAAGCCAGCCTGCTGCATCGGCAGAGCTGGGAACTAAACCCCGAGGGGCCAAAGGTTTCCAAACAAGAGCCAAACTCACACCTATACCCCTCTGTTATAGAACAGTTCTGTTTCTTCCGTGGAAGACTGAATCTCCTCTTCAAGCTTACTGCACTGGATCTGAAAAAGTTAAATTCTCAATGTTAGATTCTTTTAAAAAAATTTCTATTTGGGGTCTAGAGTTAAGAGTACTGGCTTGCAGAGAAGTCCTAGGTTCAGTACCCATCACCACAGCTCACAGCCATATGTAACTCCAGTCCCAGGCAATCTGACGCCTTCTTCTGACCTCCACAGGTATTACACAACACAGGTGCACTTTTTAATTTTTTGATTTTAGATTTATTTTTAGTTTGTGTGTATGAGTGTTTTCCCTCCATGTATGTGGGTGTATCGGTATCATGCAATGCCCAGGGAGGCCAGAAGAGGGCATCGGATTCCCTGGAACTAGAGTTACAGATGGGTGATTGCTGGTTACTATGTGGGTACTGGGAATTGATCCCCAATTCTCTGCAAAAGCAGCCAGTGCTCTTAACTGCTGAGCCATTTCTCCACCCCTCAACATTACACTCTTAACTTCTGCCTTAGAATCCAAGTTTAAAAAGAACCCCTAAGGCCAAGTGTAATGGTGCACACCTTTAATCTCAGCACTCGGGAGGCAGAGGCAAGCAGAGCTCTGTGAGTTTGAGGCCAACCTGGTCTACATAATGAGTTCCAGGCCAGCCAAGAAGAAAAAAAAAAAAAAATCCTAAAAGCAACCATTGTTTATCTTTTTTTTTTTTTTTTTTTTTTTTCCTTATTTTGGTCTTTTTGAGACAGGGTCTCCCTATAGCCCCAGCTGGCCTGGAACTTACTATGTAGACCAGGCTGGACTTGAACTCAGAGATCCGCCGGCCTCTGCCTCCTGTGCGCTGGGATTAAAGGTGGTTTTAAAACATCTGACAGCAAAAAGTATCACTTGTTACAACTTTTGTTTTGAGACAGGGTCTCTCTCACTAGCCCATGAGTATGCTTAGGACTACAAATCGTTACCGGGTTATTCCTAGCAATACACTACACATCCGATACCCTCACAGCCTTCTCATCAGTAACACATATTTGCCGAGATGTTTACTACGGCTGAATAATCCGATATCTACATGACTGGCTGGCTGGCTTGGAACTTTACATAGACCAGGCTGGCCTCAAACTCATAGAGATTCACCTGCCTCTGCTTTCCAAGGTGCTGGGCGTGCACCACCACATCCAGCCCTCTTAGAACTTTTTATTGGAAAATTTCTTTTTTAAAAAAAATTTTATTATTTTTATTTTATGTATATTTGTCTATTGCCTGCATGTAGGTAAGTGCACCTGTGTCATGCAGTGCCCACGGAGGTCAGAAGAGGCTGTCAGATCCCCTGGGACTGGTGTTACAGACAGTTGTTAGCTGCCATGTGGGTGCAGGGATTTGAACCCGGGTCTTCTGCAAGAACCACCAGTGTTCTTAACTGCTGAGCCATCCCTCCAGCCCCAGGAAATTTCAAATGTAAATAAGAAATATAATAAAGTTCTATATACTTATCACTCAGCAATAACCACGAGTAATCTGATGATCTGAATCCTCACGCATTTATACCCAGAAATGTGGAAGGGGGCAGAGGGGAAATTCTGTTTGGGGATTTTTTTTTTTAATTTTATTATTTTTATGTGTATGTGTGTATTGCCTGCATGTAGGTAAGTGCACCCATGTCCTGCAATGCCCAAGGAGGACAGAAGAGGCTGTCAGTTCCCCTGGGACTGGAGTTACAGACAGTTGTTAGCTGCCATGTGGGTGCTGGGATTCAAACCCAGGTCTTCTGCAAGAACAACTAGTGCTCTTAACTGCTGAGCCATCTCTCCAGTCCCCCATTTTTGGATTTTTAAGACAGGCCCAGCTGGCCTTGAACTTAGTCTCCCTGCCTCTGCCTCCAACGTGCTGAGAATACAGGTGTGCACTGTTACACCTGTCTCCTTGAGTATTCTAAGGTAAGTCTCAGATTTGTCATTTCACTTAAAAAGACTTCAGTATAAGATTTGGAATGATTGCTACCATGTATACAGGAATGACAGCACTTATGTAATTACTAGGCTGTATCACACCTAGCAAATGTTAAACAGTCGTCCTCTAATGCCCAATACCCATTTCCAGGCTGGCACCTTGACGGCCGAGGGCAGGCAGAGCCCTGGTCATGGTCAGGGTCCTTGAGGAGCCAGAAAGGCACCAGGGGTGTTAGGGAGAAGCTCAACTCCTCCCAGTCTTGGGCTCTGCAAATAGAGCAGGCCACCAGGTGTGCTGGACAGCGTCAAGTTGACACCTGGGTAGAAGGAACCTCAACTGGGGAATTCCCTCCATTGGACTGGCCTGTGGCCATGTCTGTTGGGTATTTTCTTGATTATTAAGTTATGTCGGAGGACCCAGCCCACTGTGGGAAGTGCCACTGCTGGGCAGGTGGTCTTGTGTTATATAAGAAAGGAGGCTGAGCATCCAGACAGCAAGCCAGGAAGCAGCATTTCTCCAAGGTCTGTGCTGCAGCTCCTGCCTCTAGGCTCCTGCTCTGAGTTCCTGCCCTGACTTCCCTGATTGACGAACTGTAATCCATGAGACATAAGATAAAAATAAGCCCTTTCCTCCCCAAGTTGGTTTTGGTTAGTGTTTATCACATTAATAGAAAATAACTAATGGCACTAGACTGCCATTGACATGTCCATCGTCCACATAGGGCCCACAGGCCTCTTCAGGGTCCAGCAAATCTCTGAGGGCAGGGCACAGGGGTAGACTACTTCTTACTGCTGCTCTGCCCTCTAGATTTCAGCCTCCACACCTGCCATGACTTCTGCGTGACCCCTTCAAGCCCACTGCCTGCTTCCTCTGCCTGAAGGTACAATGCTGACTTTGGACTCAGCATCCTACCAGCCACATGTGGTCACGTGTCTATTCGTTCCTCCCCTGGGAATGCCCTCGTTCCTCCCCTGGGAATGCCCTCTTCTCAGTCCCATCTCTGCCTATTCAACTCCAGCTGTCTTCGAAGGCACTCTCCTCCAGGAAGCCTTCCCTGGCTCAGCTGTAATTCTCAGGCCTTCTGCTCATCCTCATCTTCTGTCATAAAACAGTCATTTCCATACATGTCATGTCACTCTCCCTGAGAAAGCATGTGGCATGCCATCAGCCCCAGGCTGTCTTCTTCCACAGCAGTACAGGTTTTCTGTAGTTTAATTTTACACTTATTATTTTTATTTATTTTTAAAAATTTTTATTATTTTTATTTTATGTGAACGTGTGTATTGCCTGCATGTAGGTAAGTGAACCCGTGTCATGCAATGCCCTTAAAGGACAGAAGAGGCTGTAGGATCCCCTGGGACTGGAGTTACAGACAGTTGTTAGCCGCCATGTGGGTGCTGGGATTCAAACCCAGGTCTTCTGCAAGAACAACCAGTGTTCTTAACCACTGAGCCATCTCTCCAGCCCCCTATACTTATTTATTTATTTAATTTGTGTGTGTGAGTGTGTGTGCGCGTGCATGTGAGGTCAGAGGACAACCTTCAGGAGTTGGTTCTCTCCTTCCATGTGAGTCCCGGAGATCAAACTCAGGTCTCTAGGCTTGGTGGCAAGCAATGAGCCATTCTGTCAGCCCATCAGCCTACCTGAAAACGGGCAAAGAATAAATATAAAGCAACAATTCTTGACACAGATACTATTGTCTTCAACTCACTTCAACAGACAAGGAAACCGAGAAAACTGAGCAAAGTGATGGAGGAGCTGGGAATCTTAACCAGGCAGAAACCATAAATTTACTATATTACTACACCGTACGAATGGCCTACAGAATTATCTTACAGAAGAGACACTAACTAGCTACATGTGAGTACATACATTAAAATGATAAAGTTTCTGGGCTAGGAGCATAATATTTGCAAGGCCCAGCACTAAAAAAAATAAGGGGCTGGGGAGGTGGCTCAGCAAGTTAAGAACTTGTTTTTCTGTTCTTCCAGAGGACCAGGGTTCAGTTCCCAGCTCCTACATGGCAGCTCTATTACCTCCTTCCAGCCTTCAAGGGCACTACACACATACCAGTAAATATGGCTGGCAATCAAAACACTTGCACAAATAAAAATCAATAAACCATTAAAAAAATAGTAATGAAATAGAATTCAGTGTCTTCATCACGCTAGGCACTTTTTTTTGTTTTTATTTTTTGGTCTTTTTGAGACAGGGTCTCTCTGTAGCCCCAGCTGTCTTGGAACTCACTATGTAGACCAGGGTGGCCTTGTACTACAGAGATCCGCCTGCCTCTGCCTCCTGAGTGGACTAAAGGCGTGCGCCACCATGCCCGGCGCCCTAGGCACATTTTAAGTTTGCAGAAGCCGTATGTGGCCAGTGTGCACCATGTTAGACAGCATACAGACTACTTCATCACTGTGGGCAGTCGCACTGGGTGAAGCATGGCTTTATGGTGTTAGAGAATATCTAAGTGTTCTCTAGTGTCTTTCAAAGACTTGCTTTATACATTTGTTCATTCACTCATTCACAATGCAGCCCAGGCTGCCTTTAAACTCACTATGTAGTCAAAGATGGCATCGGGTCCCTTGGGTCCCTCATCCTCCTGCCCCCACCTCCCAAACACTGGGAGGTACATGCCACCATGCCTCATTTACGTGGTCCTGGGCATTAAACCCAGGGCTTTGTGATGCTAGGCAAGCACTCTACACACTGGGCAACATTCCCAGCTCCTAAAGTTTTTAGTTTTTGAGACAGGAATTTGCTTCAAAGGCCAGGCTCAAAACCAGGATCATTTGCCTCATTCTCCTAGTGCTGGGATTAAGGCACATCCTGCCACTACTAGACCCAGCTAATTTGTTTCAGATTGTTTTTTATTGTTGGGAGGGGAGGGGCACATGCATGTCACGATTCGCATGTAGAGGTTAAAGGATGACTCTGGAATCGGTTCTCTCCTTCCAACTTTACTTGGGTTCCAGGGACCAAACTCAGCTATGAGGCTTAGCAAGTGCCTCTGTCCATTAAGCCATCTCACTGAGCTATCTCACCAGTCCTAATTTTACCTATTATATGTGTGTATATGTGAAATTTTTTCTATTATTACATGTGCACGTACGTGATTATTATTGTGTGCATGTGAGGCTCTCAGAGGACAACTTTCAGGACTCAGTTTCTCCTGCCATCATGGGTTCCTGGAATCAAACTTGCCTGACCTATTTTAGTATCTTACTTTTTTTCTTTTGCTTTTTGAGACAGGGTCTCCCTGTAGCCCCAGTTGGCCTGCAATTTACTATGTAGACCAGGCTGGGTTTGAACTCACAAAGATCCACCTACCTCTGCCTTCCAAGTACTGGGTTTATTATCTTTTAAATGTCACAGAGTTTATGATATACCATTAAGAAAAATGGAGCTGGGCATGGTGGTGTATACCTGTCATCACAGTGCTCAGGAAGCAGAGACAGCAGGATCAAGAATTAGAGACCAGTCTAGGCTACACAGACACCTTATCACAAGAAGAAAAATGTGAAACAGAACCCAAAGCTGCATGCACAAAAGATGAAACTACGCCCAAACCGTTCCAGAATTCTGTGAACTATACATCTTAAAATTTAGAAGCATGAAATAAAAACCTAGCTAACTGCTCTGAAAGTTGTGGGAGGCACTTACCTGTCCCACTTGTGGAAACATGCCAAATGATGCCGGCACCATCAGTCCCATTATCAGGAGAGTAAAACTCACCCTTGCCATCTTTAATGACAATGGAGTTAGTGGGAAAAACTGGGTCCTGTAAGAGACAAGCCACAGCTAACAAACAGCACCCAACACCTCAGGTTCTCTTTTATGTGACAGGCCTTCAGCACCAATGGTAGCCGATTTGGCTCAGTATGCGGCCACAGGCCCATGCCTAGCTCACCGTACAACCCATCATCCCTAAAAGGTGCATGGACTGAGCTCTGGGTGAGGTTTAATGTGCCAAGTCCTTTCATAGAAATGGGATAACAAAGGCACTGGCTGTTTATCAAAACCCCAGAGCTCAAGTAACTGTTCAGATTCTAGAGTCTGTGATTCAAATGCTCCAAGAACAATGTAATATTCTGACTTGTTCTCCAGAGAATGGAAGGGAAAGATGACTTGCAAAGAACCCCAGCTTGGGGAGTTTGACACCTGAGGTCCCGTGAAGGCTGTACCATTCCACTGACAGAGCATATGTCCCCTGGCAAGTCTCCTGCCCCTTCCAAGCCTTGCTTCTTTTTTTACAGATGCAAAAAGAAAGGGTTGAGCCAGGCATGGTTGCTCATGCCTTTAATCCTAGCACTCAGGAGACAGAAGCAGGCAGATCTCTGTGAGTTCAAGGCTAACCTGGTCTATAAAGTGAGTTCCAGGTCAGCCAGGGCTACAGTGAAACCCTGTCTCAAAAAACAAACACAAAAAAGGTGGGGGGGGGGGCCTGGAGAGATGGCTCAGCAGTTATAAACACAGGCTGTTCTTGCAGGAGACCCAGGTTCAAATCCCAGCACCCACATGGCCACTAACAGCTGTCCGTAACTCCAGTCCCAGGGGATCCAACAGCCTCTTTTGTCCTCCTTGGGCATTGCATGACACAAGTGTACTTACCTACATGCAGGCAATACACACATACACATAAAATAAAAATTATAAATTTTTAAAAAGAGAGGGGGTTGAGGCAGAAGGTCCACACAAGAGGCTTTCTTGTGGACGCCATCTGCTGGCTCTGGGACGCTGATTCTATGAGAACATCTGAGGGCTGTCTTTCCAGACTCCCCCCAACCCCTGGGACAAGCACAATCTCTCCCGACAAACAGCCTGTGCCATTTATTCATGTATGGCTTCATGGGACAAGGACTCCAGCTTTGACAGCCTCAAAAAAACCCCAACTGAGTAAGTCCATCCAGTAGCTTTCCTGTGGGGAGTGACAGCTGACTCTGCCCAGGGCAGTGCCCTGTTTCCTGAAAACAACCACAGAGGTGCTAGCTGGGCTTCCTGGACTTGCCGCCATGGGCAGAGTGGCTTCAGGATCAGGCACACGACCATGACCATCATGTGCCACCAGAATGCTCAGCCCCTGCCTGTAGCCTCTGACCCGAGTGAAGGCAGTCCTCCCTCCCTGGGCTTTGCTGTGTGCCTCTGTGATAGGGAGGCTATGAGATAAGCTGGGAATGATCAGCAGCTGCTTCCCTCCTCGACATGGGTACCTGCTCGGCAGGAGAGGACTCCAGCACCCCAGAGCAGAGAAGGGGAGCATCGAGCAGCAGAGCTTCAGTTCTAGCACCACAGGCTACACTCTTGCTTGCACCTGGTACCTATCTCTGCAACTCCCTTCTGGCCTAAGCTGCTGCAGGCTGAGTTCCTCACTTGGCAAACACAGGAGGTACCTTGGCGAACCCCCAGAGTATCTGTCTACAACAGTTCTTTTCTTTTTCAGAGACAGGGTCTCATATATCCCAGGCTGACTTTGAATCCACTACATGGCCAAAGATTACCTTGAATTTATGATCCTCTTGCTTCTACCATCCAAATGCTAGGGGTCCAGACATGCAGTACCATGCCCCTTTATGCAGTGCTGGGGACTGAATCCAGGGCTCTATGCATGCTAGGAAGCACTCTACCAACTGAGCTATCCCCTAACTCCCTAACATGCCTTTTTTTTTGGGGGGGGGGTCTTTTTGAGGCAGGGTCTCCCTGTAGCCCCAACTGTCCTGGAACTCACTATGTAGACCAGGCTGGCCTTGAACTCACAGAGATCCGCCTGCCTCTGCCTCCCAAGTGCTGGGATTAAAGGCATGTGCCACCATGCCTGGCAACATGCCCTTCTTGAATCACCAATAGAATGCTAGTCTACTGGACTGGGGTCTATTTAAAGTATGCTGGAAGTCAGGGAGGGGTAAGGCTTGAGTAATGTTCATAACACATCAGAGCTGGGAGAACCTGAGGATTACTCCTCTCCACCATGCCTGCAGTGAGGGAATGGGGTCACCAGACATGTCTAGGGTTGCAGAGGTGACCAAGAGCAGGTCCTGACCTAGATTCCAGGCTCGTGCAATCCACACTTCTGGGATTTCTTGCCTCTCAGATGGATCCTGTTGGTTTGAATGAAGATCGACCCTATAGACTCCCAAGAATGTGAATACTGTGTCACTAGTTGCTGGTGCTATTTGGGAGGTTTAGGAGGCATGACCTTGCTGGAGGAAGCATGTCACTGGGGGCGGGCTTTGAGAGTTGATAGCCTTGCCCCATTTCGAGTCTGTCTGTTTCCTGTGTCTGCTTGAAGATATGAGTGCTCAGTTTTCTGCGCTGGCTGTCTCCTGCCATGATGGACTCCTATTCATCTGGAACCATAAGCCAATAAACTCTCTGTTCTGTAAGTTGCCCTGGTCATGGTGTTTTTATCACAGCAACAGTAAAGTATCTCCATCTCATTGGAAAGCTAATGATCCCCATCCTTCCCACTAGGTTTGTACTGGGCAAGTTTATAAGGGTTTTGTTGTTGTTTCTTATTTTGTCTTTTTTCTTCTTAAATAGGTTTTGACTAGGTTGGGGAGAGCCTCTCTTACCTTTTAAGGAAGTAGATGGTGACTTCAGGAACCAAGGCTGAGGTCCCAAACAGCACTGCCCTGGAGATTGCTGTGTCTCTAACAGCCTGGTTGAAAGACCAAGAGAGCAGCTCAGTACATGGAGGGAGACAATGTCCATGGACCCCAGGACCAGCAGAGACAAGCCACTGCAGCTCCCTTTCTCATAAGAAAAAGCTCCCACTGGGAACAGATGCAGGCAACACTTCCTAGCAACCTATCTGGAGGCAGGTCTTCACAGGATGGCTGGGTACTAGGAATAACCCAAGGAGACACACCTCCCTGACCCCATACGATCTCATCAATCCACCAAAGCACCCTGAATAAACCACCCGAGAGTACACACCACACTAGACAAAGCCCTGCCTAGAACGAACTACAACAGCAGCCCTTGACACAACTTGCATGTGCCCCAAATTTTGTTCCATATTGTATTTCAACATAACCTCTGCCAACCTGTTCACCAACAGTTCCCACCCTACCAGTGGGGGAATCCCCCAAAAGCCCAGCTCTGAGTGCACTGGCATAGCATTATCCCTAAGCAAGGCCACCTGTCCAAACAGCCTTCACCTGCTGTAATTAAAAGTGGTGTTCTATAAAAACATATTTGTAAGCCGGGCATGGTGGCGCACACTTTTAATCCCAGCACTTGGGAGGCAGAGGCAGGCAGATCTCTGTGAGTTCAAGGCCAGCCTCATCTACATAGTGAGTTCCAGGACAGCTGGGGCTATAAGGAGACCCTGTCTCAAAAAAAGACCAAAAAAAAAGCATTTCTGCAGGCATGGATTTACAGCTTGTAGCCATCTTTTTTTCTTTTTCTTTTTTTGTGAGACAGCGTCTTATTGGGTAGCACTGACTGGCCTGGAACTTGCCATGCAGGCCAGGCTGGCCTGGAACTCACAGAGATCCACCTGCCTCTGCCACCCAAGTGCTGGGATTAAAGGTGTGTGTTACTATATCTGAAGTCTTTTCTATACTGTGCCCTGTCCCATATATTAAATGTCAACTCTATATGTTAAGCCATCTAAGCATATACTTTACTATATGGATTATAGGCCCAAACCATGCCCCAAGAGCAACTCAATGAAGGAAGAAAGGGAATTTCAACTATATATGGCTCACACATTAATCTTAGAACCCTGCCAATGGGCAGATACAATTCCACAAACAGCACACTCCTGTGCCCAAAATATATAGACAAAGGCTAGGTGTGAATCAGTGGTAGAGAGTTTGCCTAGCATGTACAATGCCCTGGGTTTGATCCCCAGCACCACACACACATAAAGGAGCCAATAATTTAACCACTTAGAGTAGTTAGAGCACTTGCCTAGCATGGAGGAGACTGTGGGTTCCAAACCAAGGCCAAACTGAGCTCCCTTCCCCCTATTTATTTATATTCTCCATGACCTGCCTACAAGCCCACTTTCCAGGCCCTGCTCTCTGCTCACACTGCTGTAGGCAGGCTATACCGGACACACTCACATTCAGCTCTGGTGATCCCCCTGCCTTTCCCACACAAGAAAAGAGCCCAAGAGGGCTATTTTCAACAAGGTTTCAAGAATACAAGGTTAACATGACTGGTCCAAGTGCGGAGAACAAGTGACTGTGGAGTGCCCATCCCCAAATGAGACATCTAAAACACAACCTCTACACCTAAGGCTCAGGGCGCACTGAGGAAGAGGGGACAGAAAGACTGTAAGCCAAGAGGACTAAGAGGATTGCTGCAAAATAGTGTCTTCTAGACATGGCAGGGATGCTGCACCCATGAACTCTCAGCAACATGGTTGCCTGCCCAAGACAGCACCAATCAACCCTGCGGCATAGACAGGGGAAGGGCTCACAGGGCCACACACCTAGTTGAAGACCTACAGACAGTCGATGGCTGCTGAGGAAGAATCAATTTTCTTCATGGATGAGGCCCTTGACAGCTTGCCCATACCCAGGAGATCAGCCCTACACCCATGTATATTTGAGAAACATTCAATGGACTCATTAGGCTTTATATATATAATTAATATAGAAGAGGAGAACATGCATTTGAGAAGTAGACCTGGGGGGACTAGAGGCTGGAAAGGGGAGTGAGGGGTAGATATGATGAAAATACACTGTATTCACAGATGAAATTATCAAAGAAATGAAGAGAGAATACAAAGTTTTTTAAAAAGGCCATCAAGATGGCTCAGTGGGTTTAAAGGCAAACGCCACCAAGACTGATGACCCGAGTTCGAGCTCCCACACCCACATCATGGAAGAAGAGGACTGTCTCGCAAGAGCTGAACTCTATACAAATACCATGACATCCTCATGCCTACAATCATACACATAGACACACAAGATAAATACATGTTAA